AGATCAAATTAGAGGATGGAAAAGGCAGCCCTTTCTCGGCCGGAGGTCTAAGTGCATCAGTAGGTAACAATGGAGCTAGACAACTTGGAATTGCCTCAGACCCCAATCTTCCCGGAATTCAAATCTCAGAGAAACCGACTTCAATGGTATGCGATTTATTGCAATGCAACATTCCTAATTGAAAATATTTACTCACTTTGTTACTCGTTTTAATTTGGTTGAATTGGTTGCTGCAATTTTCATTTTTCAATATGAGTTTGTTCTTTATACCTCTCTATCTGAATTAGTTCTTAGCTCCAATGCTCATGTCAAATAGGAGAGTTATGTAGACTTTTAATTAAGTGCTTGCTCATTTTAGTGCTTTTAGAATTGTCAAAATCACTTTTGACTATGCAATGAAACACATTGGAAGTACTTTAAATTGACTAAAAGTCGCATCGACTCACATGATCAATCCAAGGTTTAATTTCATGATATATATGTGTGTGTGTGTATGTATATGTATGTATGTATGTAATGTATATATATGTATATTCTCCAAGTTTGTACTACTTTTATTCATGAGAGCAATAAAATATCTTGTTTTAGTTCAAGTCTGTGGCCCAAAATCCTCATAGCAGAACAACATGATGGATGTGGGTTGAGAATTTTATCTAGCTATCAGTTTTAGTTCAAAAGCATCACCATCTTCTTTGTGTAATTGCATTCATAGCCAAATCAATCTTTGTGCCTCCGGTAGACAATTTTATTGATGATTGAAATTTACAAAAGGGATGTATAATCCACAGTGTTTACAAAAGACCTTCCCAATTTGCAATGAAACTACTACTAGAGCGTTCCCATTTTAGTGATTCCCATTTTCGTTCCCACGGATTATGAAACTACTACTAGAGCGTTTCAATTTGTATTAATTTGAGTGCCTCGATTCATCCTTGTTTAGTTTCTTTGTTTTCATTTTTGTATTCTTCCTTTTTTCACTCCCTGAAGTTTGTATCTTGAACCTTTTAGTTTTTTCATTAAGCAATGAAAAGCTTGTTAATGCGTCACTATGCCAAGATTTATGCATGTGAAATTCATCATTCTCGTGAAATTTATTGATTTTTTCAGCATCACAACTGAAAGTTTCTTGTTCTTTTCCCTAATCTTTTCCCTCCACAGCTTCCCCACGATGTCGAGTCTGCATTACTGCAACAAGTTTTGAATTTAACTCCCGAACAACTTAACTCGTTGCCGCTCGAACAGAGGCAGCAAGTTATTCAGCTCCAGCAAGCACTTCGCAGAGATCAAATGCGGCCATCCTAACAAGCAAATTACCATCGATCAACCCGAACTCTTGCAGCTCGACTCCAAGCATCAAGTAGATTGTAAAATATTTGGCTCCCCAAAGATTTAATGAGTGACAGTCTAAACACCTGTAAAATTATGCTTGCCAAAGTTGTCCAAAACCGACGGGTCCTGCCAAAGAGGAACGAGTTTCATAAACAACATTCATGTAAGGCTTACAAGTTTGTGATTATAGTGATTCCTGAATAATAACAATTCAAGATAGGGTGGAAGAATTTTGATTTTTCTCAGGTCTCTCTTTTTGCCACTTTTGCACCCCTTTCCTTTCCTTTACATCGTTTAATCGTCGTTTTCAGATTCTCGAGCTGCCATTTTATGGTTTCGGGTCATTGTTTCTCTGTGTTCTTTTGCTTGGATCTTAATTTTGTTCCTTAATGTCGATGTTCGTTTAGTTATATGTAATATTTCATTAAGGATTTGGTTAGTTTATAAAAGAAAAATTGCTAATTTGGATTCCAGTTCGGTTTCTGAAAATCATGCTTGTTAATTAATTATCCTTGTTTCACATTTTTTGTTCGTTCGGCTGCAAGTATACAAAAGGTTCATGTTTTTAAACATAATAGTAATTTTCTTTTATTTTATCAATATCTTTTGAAAATGTGAAAGTATATCTCACTCAACTTCCCGATCAATAAAATCTCGGGAAAAATATTCTTTTTAGTCCTTATGTTGTTTATTTAGTTTCTATTTAATCCTTGGGTTAAAAAATACAACATTTTTGCTCTTCAATGATCTAATGGAATGTTGACTAGAACGATGATTTGGTTCGTTTTAAACTCCTATAAAGTCACAAGTGAACCTGTTAAAGGATCATTGTTGATGCCTAAACATCAAATGACCCGTGAATGTGTTTACAAACCTTTTGTGTCGAGGGAGCATTCGTGCCCCCCTGATGCTTAAACCAAAATCGCGCAAGTTGTGCTTAGGAGCTCAAACGAATAAGCTTGCCCCCTGCCTTGGTCTCGGTGTGCGAGGGGCAAACATTCTTGTCATATTATTCACAACTCTCGGTATTTTTTTTTCGTTTTTGTACCATAGTACTTTTTATCTTTCTATCTTCTCTTTCGACTTTTACACTCTCCACAAGTGAAGGACCATTTCCTTAGGTTTGCCAAGCATGTGCACGACCGTACTAAGCATTTGCTAGAGGAAGTTGTCGTGGGAGGGGGTGGTGGCTAGCTAAAAAAAGATGGTGGTGGTGCTCATGGGTGTGGTCGAGGTTCTAAAGTGAGAGATTTAGGCGTGAGTTGAACATGACTGAAGTATCAATTCCTCGATGAATTTGTTTGGGATTGGTATAAACAATGATTTTTTTTTCATATTCATAGTATTTATAATCCGATCTAATAAATTATAATTTTATATTTAAATATTTGAAGTAATTGAAAAGATTTATTAGTGATAAAATTAAAATTTTAAAAAAATTATTAATATTGTAAGGTTCATACATTCTCTTAAATTCTAAATTAAAATAGGGTTCGTAAATTTATTCAAAACGTAAAAAAGAAAGTGTTCTATTACAAATATACACCCCATCTTTTCCTTCTTCCTCAGGCCATTTACACGCAGAGCCCTAAACCGCCTCTACTAACCTACCATTCCTCTGCTCCGCCTCCTCCTTCGGCACCACCACCGCCGTCAAAACTCCATTCTCCTAATCAACGCTCTCTCCGACGGCCGGGACCGCCGCTCTACCCGGTGCCATTTTCGTCGTCTTGTTCCTCTTCTTTCACTCGCTCACCGCTGACGTCGAGGACTCTGTCGGCTTCGATCTGCACGTTCAGATCCTCTTTCCTGACTCCTGCAGCGATTGTTGCTGTTAGGGTTAGGGTTAGGGCGGTGGCGTAAGTTCGTGAGTATGGCTTTAGCGAACTCGCAGGCGGGTGAAATCATGGCGCATAATGCGATTCCGCACCCTATCCCTAAGGTTTCCCTCTCCCTACGCTTTACCATTGAAACAGATTTGGATGCATTTCTACCCTATCGTTTACACCATTTATTTGATATACACATATACAAATTATAATATTATTGTTCGAAAAATTTAAAACTATTTACACTCACCCCCACAAAATTTTAGTTCAATTCATGAAGTTGTTCGTGAAGTTGTTCGAGTAACCGGTGACTTTTCTTAGTCATTTTATTTTCAGATCATGAAATACTTTTTAATTATCTTTAAACTTCTCTTAGTCATTCTATCTTCGGTGTACCTTTCATTGATTGAGTGTCACATCTTTAGTTTCATTTCAACACATTGCTATAAGTTATTGATATGAAATATGACAACAAATATTTTATGACTAAATAACCCGTCTAAATCAATTATTTGAAAGAAATTATCTAAATTAATTCATTTAGTTTAATTGATATAATTAACAATTTAAAAGCTAAATTAATAAAAATACAATAAACTTAAAAAAGTTCAAAAAAGTTTTATAAATATTATTATCAATGGAAACTATTAGATTTATATAAAAAATAACTTTAAATTTAAAAATTCTATTAATATCCTTCAAAAATACTCTACATGAAAATTTAAAGAGTTTGGTGGTAAAAATATGATTGAATTTTAAAAAGTTTTATGATTTTTTTTTTTTTAAAATACTATCATTAGTACCATCTTTTAAAATATTCTTTAAATTTTAAAGTAGCATTAATAACCTTAAATTTCATAAATTTTTATTTTTTTTTAAGTTCTTAATGTCAAAATGTATATATATATATATGAGAATCGTCTATTTACACTGACCATCTCATAACTTTTAGAAATTCATCTATCCATATACTAACGATAATAGTATTTTTAAATTTAAAAAAAAAAATTTAACCTGTTTTAAACTTTTCTAAAATTTTATGGTATTTTTGAAGTTTTTAAAAAAAATATAATATATATTATTAATTTTAAACATAAAGAAACATTTTCAATTAAAGTGAAGTCACAAATGGATGTGTTCATTGTTAGACGAACACAATTAGCCGATGTGGGATGGAGTTAGTATTCCTCACTTATAAACCCATGATCATTCCCTAAATTAGCCGATGTGAGACTTTCATCATCCAACACCTCCCCTCGAACAAAGCACGCCTCCCCTTAATCGAGGCTCGACTCCTTTGGAGTCTTAGTCACAAATGGATGTGTTCATTGTTAGACGAACACAATTAGCCGATGTGGGATGGAGTTAGTATTCCTCACTTATAAACCCATGATCATTCCCTAAATTAGCCGATGTGAGACTTTCATCATCCAACACCTCCCCTCGAACAAAGCACGCCTCCCCTTAATCGAGGCTCGACTCCTTTGGAGTCTTAGTCATTTTTGACTGCCTTCGTACCTTCGAGGAGGCTTGACTTCTTTTTTCTTTTTTTTTGGAGTCCTTTGTTCGACATTCGAGGATTTGCCAATCTATTGGCACGGCTAAGTTTAGGGCATGGCTCTGATACCATGTTAGACGAACACGACTCTCCACAATGGTATGATATTGTCCACTTTGAGCATAAGCTCTCATGACTTTGCTTTGGGCTTCCCAAAAGGCCTCATACCAATGGAGTTAGTATTCCTCACTTATAAACCCATGATCATTATCTAAATTAGCCGATGTGGGACTTTCATCATCCAACATTCATTATTCAAAGACTGCCTTTAAGAATTTGGGAATTTGAAAGGTGCTTTTCTCGTTACACAAGCGTGGAGTGGATTGAATAGCACTTCCTCACCAGCTGCGCTTTCCTTATCTCCATCACACTTCCCCACCAACCTCCAAAGATCCACACCGCCGCCATGGCCGACATGATTGTCCGTTTCGGAATCATCGGCGCAGCCGAGATTGCCCGGAAGGTTTCTCGTGCCATTGCTCTTGCTCCCAACGCCACTCTCTCGGCAATCGGCAGCCGTTCCGTCGAAAAGGCCTCCAAATTTGCCGTCGATAATGGTTTCAGTCCTCAGGTCAAAATCTATGGTTCTTACGAAGCTGTTCTCGACGATCCTGAAATCGATGCTGTCTATGTTCCTCTTCCGACTAGTCTTCACTTGCGCTGGGCCGTGCTCGCCGCCGAGAAGAAGAAGCACTTGCTCCTTGAGAAACCTGTAGCGCTTAATGTATCTGAGTTTGATAAGATCCTCGAAGCGTGTGAAGCCAATGGAGTGCAGTTCATGGACGGTACCATGTGGATGCATAATCCTCGTACGGCCTTGATGAAGGAATTTCTCTCCGATGCAGAACAATTTGGCCAGCTCAAATCGGTATGTGATTCAAATTCCATTCAGAATGATGTAATTCATATACTGTACTCTTTGACTAACTGCGATCATGCTGGAAACTTGAGATATTCGAGTCATTAGGATATTTAGCCTTTCATTATGGTTCACCCTACTTATCATATTTGACAAATATCTAGATATTTGCCTCCTATTACAATTTGCCTGGACGGATTGTAAATTAGGGCTGTTTTCCGTAGTCTGGTCTTTCCTGCTTGGTAAATGCTTGTGCACCGGCGTACAGGCAAGCTGCCCTGTTGCTCATCCAAGTTATGGTCATGGTTGAACAAGATGATATGAAATGAAATAGGTTGCCCTTTACCTGACATATGTATGCTTTTCTAAACAAGAAACAGTTCAATTTGTTGATCAAATGAAGTCACTAAAGATGGAGGATCCTACCTTTAGGAATATTACAAACAACTTTTCCAATGGGGTATGAGACATGTGAGGCTATAATTACAAAAAGGTGGATACTATTTACATGAATGAAATGCTAAAAATTAGTAGAGAATATAAGATCGGTGCTTGTTCCTTTTATGATTAGATGCGAGTATTTCTCCCTAACTACATGGTCCAAAAGGATGCATAATCAATATTGAGCCATAGGATCTTTTCTCTCTTTTCTCCTTCAATGTAGAGATGTTAACGGGGTGGAGATTGTGTTTCCCGTGGAGATTTTTTTCCGTTTTTTATAAAATATATATATATATATATTTTAAAAGATTCTTTTTAATGGATAATTTTCATTGTCCAATATAATTTCTACTAAAAAAAAAAAGTAAAATCTCATCAATATTTCTATGTAGTCATCAACGCTTAAAAAAATCTTCAATATGCTTTATTTATACATGTAAAGTGGGTGGAAAATCGGGCGGAGTTGGGGAATATAATTCTCGTATCTAGCTTTGTTTATTTGACGGGTAGAAATCTCTTATTGCTCCCTCTCCCATTCTCCGTTTAGATGGGGTTTCCTGACCTCGATTGGGGTAAGATTCCTGTGGATTAAATGGACATCTGTATTTCAATGATTGACATGTGAAAGCGAGAGAAAGACTCTTTAATTTATACTGTCATGAGCGCACTGGTCTTTACTATTAACATTGCAGTTGTTAATCTTAACATTGCATTTGTTTGCTGAAAAGCATTGCAATTGTACTCATGGTAGTTCTGATATATGGTACATATGTTATAAAGTTTGAGTGAACTAGCTCTATGATATAGTTATGAAGAAAAAGGTTAAATTTTGTTAATATATTTTATACCAATCGTTTGCACGTGTTTTCGTTGTACGATCAATGATTAGAAGTTCAAATTTTCTTCTGATTTTGGACCATTCATTGATTTGTAGATTGATCTTTTTTCTGTTCTGAACATCATAGGTAAACAGTGTTTTTTCTTTTGCGGCTGATGCCGACTTCTTAGCTAATGATATTCGCGTGAAGTCCGACCTTGACGGTCTTGGTGCTTTGGGTGATGCTGGATGGTACTGTATTCGTTCCATTCTTTTTGCTGCCAGCTTTGAACTGCCTAAACGAGTGATCGCGTTTCCTAATCCTGTTTTGAACGAATCGGGCGTGATTTTGTCCTGTGGAGCTTCTCTATTTTGGGACGATGGGAAAATAGCAACCTTCCACTGCTCGTTCTTGTCGAACTTGACCATGGATATCACTGCCATAGGAACAAACGGGACATTACATGTGAATGATTTCATTATACCTTATGGAGAGAAGGAGGCCTATTTCTGTACCAATTCAAAATCTGGTTTCACTGAACTTGTGACTGGTTGGGAACCCCTCCCAAGCAAACATATAGTCCCTACTGATCTTCCTCAGGAGGCTCACATGGTGAGAGAATTTTCTCATTTGGTTAAAGAGATCAAAGCAAATGGCTCCAAACCCGAGAAGAAGTGGCCGAACATCAGTCGAAAAACTCAGCTGGTGCTTGATGCGGTGAAGGCGTCGCTCGATGGAGGATTCAAACCTGTTGAAGTCGGACCGTGATTCCTACGGTATTCTCGTTTGATCTTGTATTGAACTTCAATGTGTTAGTCTATGATTGTGATTAGGTTCCTCTGCACTTGAAGTGGTTCTACCAGTCTGATATATGATTGCTCGTGCTTGTAACTAGTCTTTAGGCTTGCATCAAGGATGAAAAGCTCTGCATTTATCAAGATTTACTGAAGTCTTGAAGAGCCATAAACTGTGAGAGAAGCCGATCCTTGAGAATAATTATATGGTTGATTTTTGTCAATTGAGCTGATGCTATTCAAATGTTTTTTACTTCAATTCGGAAGATATTTTAGAGTCGGATTAGGTAAGTGTTTTGATAACTTCATCATCAAAATGTCTAATTTTATTAGATGTCTATGGGACGGGAACGGGGACGCAGAAGCCTTCTCCATTCCTTTTCTTGCCATATATATAAGTGGTGGTGGGGTCGGGATTTTCCGTTTGTGTTAGCTAATTGGGATAAATCTCCTAACTCCGTTCCTTGTTTGGGGTCAAAATTCTCTGTCCCCATTTAGCTAATGGGAAGAAATCTACCTGCTCATTTTTCTATTTTCTATTTAAACAATAATCGTTTGGGGTCAAGATTCTCCGTCCCTGTTTAGCTAATAGGGAGAAATCTACCGGCTCTCTTTTCCATTTTCTATTTAAACGACAACCGACCCGTAGGCTAATAGACATATATATGATAAAAGAGGTTAATTTCTTTTAGAGTAAATTTGATGGTTGAATGACAAAGTTTATGTGCTGTGAGTTTAAGTTCTAACTTTAACATTTCTTTTAAAATATTAAGAATAAAAATTAAAATAATGATATCAATTTAAACCCTAAATTTTCAACCATCATAAATTTTAACTTTTAATAAAATAATTACCATTCACATATTCTATTAAATTACCGGGAAAAATTATATTGTGGTTTTTTACAAATAGAAAAAAAAAAAAAAAAAAAAAAAA